TGTTCTATTATTCCTGCTTCTGCTGTTTGTGTTGCTGAAGAGAACAAACATTGGAAAGGTGGCAGAGCACAGGGCTTCCCAAACCAATACTGCCTTTTCTTAATAGCAAATGAAAACAAAACATAATCCATCTGAATATTGATGGTTGTAGCATACCAGCTGTTTTCCCATACTCCTTGTCATACAAAGAACATAATGCTTTCTACAAACTCTATACTCCAACGTAGTGGTTTAAGCAGGCTGCTGTATTGTGTAAAAAGCTTTAAGGCCTTCAGTCAGCAGGGGAAGAATAGAAGAGCACATATTGAATAAAATGCAATGTGGCTGTGCTTGTAAAAGGGCTTGTTTATAGACGGGGCATAGTGCATCAATACTGTCCTTACAGTACTGTATTTTTCGAGGTGTGTGTGTGTTTATAATGGAGGATGGACGGCAGCCCTGTGCTGAAAATTGATTACCTTTGACAATTTTTCGTTTGCAGACAAAGCTTTTGTCAACTTTGGGATAGATATTTTGAAACTACAGTCAACTGAATTCAGAAATAATTAATCTAGCCGCCAGGACAAGGTCAGTGGCAGAACAGATGACCACTGTGATGCTTACGAATCAATCCAGTTTTATTCCAATCACAACGAAATTCAAATTCAAAACTATGAATGGAAGGAAAATTTGTCATATTTTGGCGAGTGGTCTACACTGCTCAGTGCTCCACAGGTTGATTTAGGGGTTGCAGTGTTTCCTGTCTCCTCACATTGTTTGGAAAAGTGGTTGTGGAAATAAATGCTTTGAATGACAATTGTGCAGAGTAGAAGCAATCTAAAGCTCTTCACTTATCTTTTCTGGGCTCGTCAACGAGTCTCTAATGCATGGAATGTGCATCTCTTCAGCTAAATCATCTATGAAGGACTCTTATCATGACAGTCACACAAAAATCATGTCAATATGGGTTTTATGGGCATACAGGATATGGCTGCGACATCAGATAAGCTGAATGACTTAGTATTTCCAAAGTCAACACAATTACACCACAATTACACATCACTGCAGGGATGTAATAAGGCAATAGTACATGGGCATAAGACTACTGTTATGTTGGATATTATCATTATATGTCAATTGTTATGCAACAATTCAATAAGCAGGAAGTTAATTTTGAGTAATGTACGTTTTAGTCACAAAATAGCCAGTTACTTTGTCTATTTTTGCTCTGGTAAGGAAAATTCATGTACATACTTGGTTTCCAAATGAATTAGCATTACATTACATTTTTATCACTTCATGCATTCCCTGGGAATTGAACCCATGACCTTGGCATTAATAAAAGCCAAACTTTACTGTTTGAGCTACAGGATCCCAAATTAGCATTTAAATGAAGCCACAGTGGGATCAATCAATGTGTGTTGCGACTAAATTAGACTTTTGATGATACAATACTGTCAAGTGCAGCATAGTGGCTCAGTGGGTAGTGTTATTCCTTCACAGCATGAAGGTTGCTGGTTTGAGTCCTGGTTGGGCCAGAAGATATAAAGCAGCAGTGCCCAATCCTGGAAATCTACCTACCTACAGAGTTCAGTTCCAATGAAACAATTACCGGCTTTGTGATATCATGATAAAATTCCCCACGGTTAGTATTACAGTTTCATATTTTAATGATCATTAAAACCGTAGTCGATTACCGCGATTTGAACAACTCAGGATAAATAAATACTGTCCAGCATAAAGCAAAGTTTTAAGTAACAGTCTCATGTGCGCACAGCACGCATACAGTTTTCCAGCATCTTTTGCATATTTGAACCCTTTCCAGCAGTGACTTCATGATTTTGAGATCCATCTTTTCACACTGAGGACAATTGAGGGACTCAAACACAACTATTAAAAAAAGGTTCAAACATTCTCTGATGCTCCAAAAGGAAATACGATGCATTAAGAGCCGGGGGGTGGAAACTTTATGAATTTGAAGATAAAGGTGATTTGTACCTAATTTGTCTTTCGGGAACATGCAAGAATCTTCTGTTGCTTCTGAAGGGCAGTACTAAATGAAAAAAAAAAAGATATTTCAACAAAATAAGAACAATTTGGACATCTTCATCCTGTTCAAAAGTTGGAATGACTACTTCCATTTGGAATTTGCCCCATGAACAGTTCGGTACCGATACTCGTATCGGCACATCCCTAAATCAGTTATCATTTTGTCTTAACCCTTTTCTTTATTTGAAGGATGAAATGTGAGGTTTACCATTTTATGAAACTTTTTCAAAGCTTTATTTGAAATTTTTGTACATGTTATTAGATAAACTGTTGTCAGTCATGTTGTCATTTAACATCATTGGTAATGTTATTGTTTTAGTTTTATGCAAACAAAAAGTAATTTTATTTGTTGTTTGTTTAAATATAAAACTTGGTGAAACGATTTATGCACATTTGCACATGCGATTTTTGCACATTTCCAGCACATTTTATCAATACCATGATAATACTGATAACCCTGATAATTTTGGTCACTATAATCATGATAAGATTATACCGTTTCATCTCTAGTTCCAACACATGTGTGTGTAATTGGTAAGTGCTCCTGACGATCTTAATTAGCTGGTTCAGTTGTGTTTGATTGTGCCACGCTGCATCCAGTGTAGACAGCATCACTGATTATAATGAGTTCTATTGTATTTTGTTGTGCCAGGTTGCGTCACTCACGTCCAGTGCAGACACGGTGTTACAGTATTGTGCCCAAAAGCATTACAACTATGCTTTTAACCACAGCTCAAAAGCTATAGTTCCAACCACACAAGTTTGTGATGCTGTTTGCAAATATTTGTTGGAACTATGGTTTCAAGCAATGCAGAATCATTGAACTATTTTAGTAACAAGGGAACTTGCAACCATATTATGCTTTTGGGAAATGCACTCCAGGATAGGTGAATTGCAGACATTAAATTGGCTATAGGTGTGAGTGTGAAGGGTGGTGTATGTTAGCACTGTGATGGACTGGCCTGAGACATTGGGATTGGCTTCAACATGATTCCACCTTCATTTTTAAATTCCACCTGCAGCTATTGCTTTCCAAATCCAGTGACCTGTGCATTTCCCTAGCCACTGATTCTGGATGCTGCATGCTAGTATAGTTTGCCTGGACTTATTCACACCTCTTAAATGCTCATGGCCCTCATATATGTTTTGCCTGTCCATTTTGTCCTACTTCATGTCATTTATTTGAGTAAGTTCATGTGTTTGTGCCATTGTACAGATTGTTGTTTTCCCACTACAAGCTAATTATTTACAAATTTGGCCAAATGACTTGCACCTTCTAGTCTCCTGTTTGCTGTTATTAAGGTGTAAAAGCAGTTTATGCATCGATTTCTCAAGGTTATTGTGCTGTATATTGATTTTAATCTCTTACCGCATTCATTTTAAATTCTGTGAGGTTAAAGTTCAGGCTTGAGCTTCCCAGTAATGAACCTCTAATAATCTTGATTCTGGTCTTGTTTGGAAGTGCCTCTGTTGCATACTGTTGCATACACATACTGTAGACATTTACGGACTCATGTTCTTCAGAACTTTCCAAGATTACTGTTCCTCTTATCTCCGTACTTGTGAAGATCATTCAAGCGGTGTTGCCCAGCATCTGAGAACTACGAGGAAACATACTGTAGTTCCTGGAACTTATTATCTAGACATATTGGATAATATTTCGCTTCTGTTCTTCAAGAAAAAAAAAAAGATAAACATCTATCTTTAAAGGGTCACTAACTCAAAGCAAACACACAGATGTTAGCTAATGCAGCCCGCAATTTCAGCTTCACCTCCTGTTCTGAGCATCCAGGGTCGTAGATCAGGTGGTCATGCAAACTTCTTGAGGTGCTGCCTATGACATCCTATACATGGCCGTCAAATGTACGGGTTTTTGCGATGTGTCTGGTTTCAGAATAACCCCCCTTTAGATTTAAGATCCATGTTGCCAAATTAGAAAATGTAAGAAACAGAGATTTTTATTGACGGACCATTTCGTCAAGGTAAGATGGTGCTGAAGAACGTTTTGGCAGCTGTAGGAGAATTTAAAGATTGTGATCCGTGAGCTGATCTGAAGCTTTTCTCTGTTCTGTTTCCATCTGCCTGTGACAGCTGGGCTCAACTCAGAGGAAGTGAGAATAGATATTGGCAGGAAAGAAGAATGTGCCAGCTTTTCTGTCCACCAATCGTTGGCCACTAGCACGGTGCCTCAGTTACTGCTTGCATAGAATGATTAGACAAGAAGAAAGCGAAATCAATAGGGTATGGACGATTTATGGTTTATATCTTTAAATTGACAGTTTCTTAGTTCATGCTAGATTTCATGTGGATTCTGCTGTCCAAGGTTAGTGGAGACACTTTCACGGTGACTCTGAATGTTTCGAAACCCTTGTATTAATACAAGAGTGACAACAGCACAAAATGATCTTGCAAATTGCAGTTTCTATTGAAGATTTTCAGACATTCCTTCCCTTTGCAGCAAAAGCAATGGACTGCAAGTGATTGGACAATTTTAGAAGAATAAAATCTTTCTGGCTTTGGCTTTTGTGCATGTTGTGTTCACAGTATGCTGGCCTTTATCATTGCATTTGCTTTTGTTCTGTTGACAGTGCAGTTATTGCTCTTCCATTTTGGCTTGAAGAGTGATTTGACTGGATCATTCCCTTCCCAAGCCTGTGTAATAATCAAAAGCCAGTTTATTGTAATTAACCAAACTAAAATGACATTTTTTTTAATGGCTTTTGTATGACTGTTTTATTTTCAGTATATTTGTATATATTTGAAAAACCCTATTTATATTTAAATATTTCTGAAATTCTTTAAAAAAACATAAATTTTCTTTTATTTACATTTGTTCTTATATATTATATTGTTATTTTTTAACTATTATAATTTAAACATTATTACTATTTCTTTATTTCATAATATTTGTTCACCAAATCAAGGTAAGAAATCCAGCATAAAGGCAGCCATTTTGTTGTCATGTGACAATAACCAGGAAGTAATACAACAGAGAAGACACATGCAGGCACATTGTAGTGTCAAGGTCAGTAAACGTATTAAAAATATAAGACCTTTTTATGATATGACAAGGTTGAATCAGGCTGTCAAATGTCCAATGATATTACCAACCTACAGACAAAAAAGATTTTTGCTGAGTTCAGCAAAGCATTATTTGTCTGAATGCAGTTTTTCTAGTCTCGTTATACAAACTTGTCTGGAAAAGTTTTCCTGATTTTCTTAAAGGGGTCATATGATGCGATTTCAAGTTTTCCTTTCTCTTTGGAGTGTTACAAGCTCTTGGTGCATAAAGAAGATCTGTAAAGTTGCAAAGACTAAAGTCTCAAATCCAAAGAGATATTCTTTATAAAAGTTAAGAGTCAACCACGCCTACCTAAAACAGCTCGTTCTAACACGCCCCCACATGTCTACGTCACTATGTGGAAATATTAGCATAATGCCTGCCCAAATGTGCAAGGCGTGGTTTCAGGAACAGCAGTAGTGTTGATGCAGCCATGTCAGGGAGACGGTGTGTGATTCAGTGCAAAAGCAAAAGTACTTTATTTGGCCTTCCGGAAGTAGATGCAATTAGGAATCATTGGTTAAGATTTATTTACAACAGACATGCTGGGTACAATTAATTGTTTATGTTTTACCATCCTTCATCTATTTTGTAACAAATTCAAGTGTAACCATAACAAAATATTGTTATTTCAATTATTAATTATGTGCTAACAAGGTTTATATTAAAGTGCTACCTATTGCAATACAATAGTCACTCAATAGCAACACTCTCCCACATATTTAGCTATTCTAACTGCGCTTATTTCCTTCGTTGGTATAAGTGGCATTGGGTGGTAATAGACTAGAAATGTACAGTTTTATACCATCGTGCTGATGGTTTTTTCACACATGGTAGAAAGGGATAAAAGAGGACTGTAACTGTTGCTCTGGCTCTTTCCTTTGCTACCTCTTTTTCTTTGGTCTCTCTTTCCTTTGCTGCCTCTCTCTTCTTGGGGCTCTGCCCTCTCTCTCTCTCTCTCTCTCTACAAAATAATGATCTTTAAAATAGCATCATATGACCCCTTTAATGTTCAGAAATGATCATGACTATTTGTGATAAGCATAATTTAGATTTGCCACAAGGATCATTGATAGAAAGTAGAAAGTATTTGAAGGAAGTACTGCTTCTCTGGTGTAGAGATGTTTCAGATACCGTAGACACTGAATTATCTGAGAGGTTTGCACTGAAAATGTTATGTATTTTACCCAATTATATGCTTAATGCAAGTAATACACAATTCTGTACTTTTCCATCTCAAACTCATTATCCTATCTTTCTTTTATCATATTGTCCTTTAAGAAACCGATTCCCTATAAGTAAAACTGTGATTTGATTTTTACTAGCTGTTGTTGTCCCCATAGGCAAAAAAAATGTCACATTGAGTAGATTTAGCTTGTAGGTAAAAAGATAAACGTACAATTAATCTATTTGTTTGTTGTCTTTGGAGAATTGTTGTGGTGATAAGTAAAGGAAAGGAAAAATGGTGAGAGGCTTTTACCATATTTTATTAACACAAGAAAATGGCTTTACGTTTAAGTTGACTTCCTGCTTGGCTGGTTTGGATTCCTGAAAGAGAAACTCTGAGGACTTAAGACTCCTTCAGTAATAATAATAGAGTGGGTCTCAGCCCATTATCCCAAATGCCCTGTTCTTTATGTGTCCTCTTGAGAGTGATGCAGATGAGAGGAAATCCAGAGGATGTGCATAATAGCAGCTAAACTTACCTTGGCCTTTACAATTTTGGCAGTGTGTGTTATCATATGCTGCATAGTCATATCTCTGGTGTGGGGATTTTTTCAAGGCAAGACAAATGCCATGGGTAAAGAAAGTAAGAGTTGAGACTTGTCCGCAAATAAGGCTTTTTTTAGACCCTGAGCACAGGAATGAAGCGGCAGGGTTTCCCCAGTAGTTTAGATACTGAGACAAACAGCTCTGTTTGCTTTTATTTGGTTCCCCACTATATAAAACTAGTAGATGATATGTAGATGATATGTATGGTGTAGTGCTTATGATCAGATGAACACTGAGTGTGTGTGTGTGTGTGTGTGTGTGTGAGAGAGAGAGAGAGAGAGAGAGAGAGAGAGAGAGAGTTTTCATGCACTTTCTGTGGTATAAAAATTAAGTTCCTGAAAAATAAATTTTGATAATGGCTGAATTTGGATTTACTTGCCCCTAAGGGCAAGTTATTTATTTTTCATTGGCTCAAGTAAAAAAATATAGATGTGAATCATTACCCTACATTGTTTTAATTGGATGAATTAAACATTTTTTTCAGTGTACTAGCATACTAATCCTGCTGCCATGTTTATATCTCCTAAAAGAGTAGTAGCCTATGCTATTCTGAATTCAGCCAGAAAATCCAGCTGGTTAAATATGGAGGAAATGGTAACCTGTTTTACTGTATTAAGAGTTCAATTTAGGTCAGGTCATTTTAGGAATGACTTCATATCTAGGATCAAATGACACTATTTGTAGTATATAATGCCATTTCTTCTATTTATCATTTCTGAAATTAGAAATGCAAGAAAGTCCACCTATTATTTTCCTTGTTCGAGAATGAGTAATGAGAAGGATCATGTGCAGCGCCCTGAGGACTGCTGTCCCTCATTGGTGACAGACGAGAATTGATGAGACTTCAGTCCCTAGCTTTACTTTTTTAGAAGGATCAGCAGGAGACGACCAGTTTTCGCTTAGACAGGCATCATAAGCAATTTCTCCTCAGCATTTCCTCGTGTTAAGCTGTAAATATGGATTGTGTGACTTGTTCATCATTGTTAAACGTGGTACTAGACATATAAAACGCATTCTGTCGCTGTCAATGTGTTTTACTGTTGGACAGACTGTTAGTAGCCTTGCTTACGCAATTTAGAGATGAACATTTCATGATTCACTCCATCACAATTCAGGAATGTTGTGATAATTCAGGCCTTCATAAGCATCAAGCAAATGAGACTTGAGTCAAGTGGCTTTTTAACTTACAAAAGAAAATGTTTTGTCTTTGATAATTGAGGCACATGATGCCGATGTTGGTCCTTATCCTCCTTGTAGCGATGCAAAATATTTGGAGGTACTATATGAGTTAGTGGCCAATATTACACATTTAATATCTGTTTAATATATTTAATTTAAGCTAATTTGCTCTACTTTTACATTTATATTACAGAAATAGTCAGTTAAAATGTGACTTTTTTTTAAACAACAAAAAAAAAAACATAATAGAATGTCATTTTTAAATGTATTAAGAAAAGTAAAAAATGGAATCACAAAAATGAATATCATTTTTTTCATAATGTAATGTACAATTATAAATTCACTTACAGCATTTAAAACAATATTGGTTTTTACTGTTTTATATTACATTTCTGTCAAAATAATTAATATAGATTTTTAATGGGAGTGGAATATTAAAATTGAATATTTATCAGTTATTGAACATAACATGAAAAATTACTAATTTTTTTACATTGGTGCATATCTTTGATGATGATGATGATGATGATTGTAAACCTTCTTTTATAGTCACAATAAATACACTCTTAAAAATAAAGAAGAACCTTTAACATCCATGGATACTTTCCATTGAACAAAAGGTTCTTCAGATTATTAATGTTTTTCACTCTAAGACAAAAAAAAAACAGGTTGTTTTAAAAACCGTTCACTGGAAAAAAAAAATTCTATGGCATCGCCGCAAAAAATAAATAGATAAAAACCCTTTTGGAACCTTTTTTTAAGAGTTTAGTTGATGAACACTGGAAATTTACTGAATAATTGAAAGGAAGCGAACCAGAGGTGCATCCCACTCCTCTCCCTGCCACACCTTTTTTTTAATTATTATTTGGTAAATAGATGTGGAAAAAAATAATGCAGATGAAAAAATAAATCATTCTTTTTCAGGCTCAGGGATTTTTGATCTTTGTTACACATGTCGCTGTTTTGCTTCCTGGGAAAGCAGCTTTTAGATTATTAAGGGAGGAGGCAGTGTAAGAGATGAAAACATTCTAATCCACATATTGACGTCAGGCTGGATGGAGCAAGGCGGAGGAAATGGGAGAGAACATTTGGGCCGCACATACAGCAGATTATTTCCCATCATGCTCTCCGACTGAGAGTGTCCCTAAGAGAGACACAACAGCTTTATGAATCCCCTGGGGTTGCACTCCAGCAGCATATTCACATATGAGGAGCTACTAGTTAAATAGGCTGTGTTTGTCCTGCTAGTTCTCCAAGTGAAAGCTTGTGCATTATAACATTATGATAATATTATGACAGTGATGAAACCATTACTGTGCAATACAGTATAACCGATTTTTAAATGGTCATTTGCATGTTAAATTGCCATATTTTCTACGCTTTTGCAGAATTGAATTTTCTTCCTGAAGTATCTTTTTGGTGTTAATGAAGGTTTATTTAGAATTTAGTTTTACACATCCATTTTTCAGCGTTTTTTTATTTATTTATTTTTTTTTTTGTGGAACCTTCTTTCCACCATGGGATGAAAAAATGAAAAAGGTATTTGCCACTTTTTATCTCACAATTCTGACTTTTTTTCTAGAGTTTACATTACATTTCCTCAGAATTGTGAGATATAAACTCAGAATTCTGATTTCAGTTTACATCTCGTAGTTCTGAGTTTATATCTTGCAGTTATGACTTTTTTTTCCTCAGAAATTTGAAGTTTACATCTCACAATTCTGTTTTTTTTTTTTTCTGTTTCTTTTCTTTTTTTTTCCTTTCCCCCCCACAATTCTGTTTCCACCATGGAACAAAAGATTCAAATAATTTTGTGATTTACCGTAATTGTGACTTTTTATCTCTCTTATTTTTTCTTGCAACTATGAGTTTATATTTCACAATTCAGATTTTAGAATGTATTTATTTATTTATAATTTATATCTTGCCATTCAGACTTTTTTACAGAATTACAGAAAAAGTCAGATTTTTGAGATAAAAAGTCACAATTATCTTTTTATTTATTTATTTAT